CCAGGAATTCCATGATATTTAAAGACCACCTTGAGGAATAGCCACGCAAGTTCAGAAGCTGTGATAGTCTCATTGCAAGGCTCAAAGTGTGCCATTTTTGTGAGCCTTTCTACCACCACAAGGATAGAGTCATAAGGGGTAGCACCCCCTTTTGGGATAGAAGGAGGCAACTTGACTATAAAGTCAATGGATATGGAGTCCCATGGGCGTTCTGGTATAGGTAGAGGCTGCAAGAGGCCATAGGGCTTTTGCCGTGTAGGTTTGTTCAAGTTGCAAGTAGTGCAAGAAGATATATAGTCTTGAAGAGTAGTCCTTAGACTAGGCCAGTAGAACTTTCTTGTTAGAAGTTCATAAGTTTTTGCAAAGCCAAAGTGCCCTGCAGCTGGAGCATCATGGAACTGCTGTAGGAGGTGTAGCTGTAATCGTTTATTCCTTGGGACATAGATATAGTTCTTGAATAAGAGAAGTCCATGCTGATTTTTTGAGAAATTCTGTAGTCCAACTTTCTCAAGAGAGGAACCTTTCTTCTGGAGGTATTCCAAAGTTCTTTTCACAAAGGGATCATGGTTGTAAGCATCTTTAAATGCTTTAAGAAGTGTTGCTGAGGGTGTATAGTCTTTAAAGGTCTCTGGTTCCTGAGAAGAGGTAATGGGGGCAACTTGGTCTTGAGGGGATAAGTTTACCCCTAAGTCCTCTGTAGTACTAGGGTTGCTTAAAGATGCTGCTATAAGCTTTGCTGAGTCTAGCAGAGCCTTTGTATTGCTAGTTTTAGCAGAATCTTGGTAGTCATGTCTTCTTGAGAGGAGATCTGCTCTTTGATTCTTGGCCCCTGAGACATGTTTTATAACAAAGTCAAAACCTCCTAGTTGTTCAGACCACCTTGCTTGTCGTCGATTGAGCTGTTTAGTGGTTGTAAAGGTCAAGAGATTTGAATGGTCACTGTAAATAGTGATAGGATAGTTTGCCCCTTCAAGGTAGCATCTCCAATGCTTTAGAGAACATACTATGGCAAGCAGTTCCTTGTCTGTAATGGGATAGTTTTGTTCGGCTGCTGATAGCTTTCTTGAGTAAAATGCCACAGGCTGTAGCTCTTCTTGTTTGTCTTTTGGAGCTTGGTATAAGATTCCAGAAATGGCAAAATCTGAGGCATCTGTCTCAAGAGTGGCAGGTTTCAAGGGGTTAAAGTGTAGTAACATTTTCCCTTCTTTGAATTCTCCTTTAAGAGCATCGAAAGCATCTTGCTGTGTCTTATCCCAGTGATACAAAGTGTCCTTGTGAAGTAATTGAGTAAGGGGTAAAGCCAAGGATGTATATCTTGGTATAAACCTCCTGTAATAGTTGGCAAACCCAAGGAAAGACTGAACCTCTTTAATGCTGGAAGGAATAGGCCACGTTTGTACTGCTTTTGTCTTTTCAGGATCCATCTGAATGCCTTCTGTTGAAATTCTATGTCCCAAGAAATCAACTTGAGACATATGGAAAAGACATTTCCCAAGTTTGCAAAACAGTTGTGCTTGAGATAGCTTCTCTAAGACTTGTCTAACATGTAGAACATGCTCTTGAGTGTCTAAAGAGTATATAAAATGTCATCTAAGTAGACAACAACAAAGATATCCAAGTAAGGTCTTAGAATATCATTCATGAGAGCTTGGAAAGAAGCAGGTGCATTGGCAAGCCCAAAAGGCATTACCTGGTATTCAAAATGACCATAGCGTGTTCTGAATGCTGTCTTCCACTCATCATCTTCCTTGATGCGTATCAGGTTATAAGCTCCCCTGAGATCTAACTTGGTAAAGATCTTTGCTGAAGAGAGCCTATCCATGAGCTCAGGGATAAGGGGTAAAGCATATCTGTTTTTAACAGTGACTGCATTAAGGCCCCTATAATCAACACAGAGACGCAAGGAGCCATCTTTCTTCTTGACAAAGAGAATAGGAGCTCCTGCTGGTGAGGAAGAAGGTCTGATAAAGCCAGAACTAAGGTTCTCATCTAGGTATTCTCTGAGAGTTTTCAGCTCTAATTCAGATAGAGAGTAGATAGGGCCGTAGGGAGGCATTGAGCCTTCTGCGAGTGGTATCACATGGTCATAAGGCTGGTGCTTTGGCAGAATTGATGCCTTTGCCTTGTCAAAAAGATGTTGGTAGTCTTGGTATGCTAAAGGCAAAATGACCTCCTGAGATGATTTCTCCAAATCTGAAGTAGCTGCTATCTCCAGGACAGGTTGGAAAGGTTTAACCCATATCAGAGATGATATATCGTCCATAGTTTGGTCAAAATCCTTGATCTGGGACAAGTCTGAGTCTTGGACCTGAATAGGGGTAACTGAGGCTTGAAGGGTTTTTTCAGTATTGAGCTCAGGATTTGAGCTAAACCCAAGCGATAAATGCTTCCAATTGATGGTTGGATCATGCCTTTGAAGCCATGGAAGACCTAGGATGACTGGGTACTTCATTGGTATAACATCTGAAGAGATGGTGTCTGAAAATGTTGATTTTCCTAGGGGAATCTCAAGTTTGAGTACTGGGGTGTTGCAGGTAATGGAACCTGAACTGATAGGAGTTCCATCAATGACTCGGAGCAACTCTGGAGTGCGTTTGGGAATTGTAGGTAACTGGTGTATCAAGATTAGGTCTTGAGATATAAAGTTGCCTGTTGCCCCTGAGTCTATCATAGCCCTTGTATACAACACCTGTTGTTTGAAATGGAGTTGAATAGGGATTAACAGGTGTGTGAGACTCTGAGAAAGCACCATCGACACATCTTTGTTGTCTAGGGGAGAAGTTATAGTCTCAGTTGAAGTTGTGCCTGCTAGGGATTTTTTAAGTTTTTCAGGAATAGCAGTTGTGACTGTGTCTGAGGCTGCTATATGTTTTGAATCAGCACTCCCTCGTGCTGAATAGCACTCCTGAATTCTGTGCCCCCCTTTGCCACAGTATAAACAAAGGTTGTTGTCCATTCTGTGTTTTCTTTCTTGAGGAGTAAGTTTACCCCTTTTCAGTTTTTGAGGGCTTCTTGTAGGCTGAGGTGCTGGATTTGCTGTAGATCTCTTTATAGAGGCGTCTAAGTCCATAGGTTCAGGTGCTGAGTCCTTAGCAGTTGGTGTAGAGGTGTAATTGTTGAAATTTCTTGTTGGATGCCAGTCTTGGTTCTTCTCCTTTCTTCTTTCAAAAAGCCTATCATCAAGTCTGACAGCTTTCTCTATAAGCGTTTGAAGTGTTGTAGGGCGTTCTTCTTTGCTGAGTTCATCCTTAATAGAGCTCTTGAGCCCTTGGTAGTAAGTGAAGACTAAGGCTTCTTCATTCCAAGTCAAGTGAGAAGTGATTCTCCTAAATTCTGTTGTATACTGAGCAGCAGAGGTCTTTTGACATAGCTTCTGTAGCTCTCTTTCTGCTGTAGCAGTTTCGTTGATGTCTCCAAAGGTCCTGGTAAGTTCCTCTTGAAACTGGTCATAAGAGGTAATCAAAGGTGTAGTGGTATTTTGGTTGTTGCCACTAAGTCTTCTAAGATATGGCTCAAAGAAGTTGAATGCAGATCCACGGAGGTAGCTGGCAGCAAAATAGATCTTCTGAATGTCTGAGGTGAACTGATGAGGCCTGAGGGTGAAGTAGATGTCCAGTTGCATAAGAAATCCCTTCAACTTCCTCCTGTCTCCATGGTATAAATCTGGTGTTTGCACTTTAGGAAGTGCACCTGGGGTACTCGAAATAGCCAGAGGAGCTGTGGAAAGTTCTGTATGATGTGTCTGAGTTGAAGATTGTGTTGCTGAAGTGTTGGCTTGAAAGGTGTTTTCCAAATTCTCAAGTTTGTTTGCTATAGTTTGTATAAAGGCAAACAGTTGTTGCATCTGCTGTTCAGCAGTAGTTGTAGGAGCTTGGTCGTCCTCCATTGTAGTATCGAAGTGCTGCTATAGAAATAGTTGAAGCTTGAAGCAGGCAAGGTGTAATGGTGGGTGCACCAGATATGAGAATCTAGCCACCCAAGGAAGGGATGAATTTACTAAGACAACACACTGTCTTAGAAAACAGAGCCAAAGGGTTGTAGCTTAGACTATTCCACAACGCAGCAATCAGGTGTATGATGTGGTGAAGTGGTTTAGACAAGTTGCAACAAATGTTGAGTCTGAGAACTCAGGGGTAAGTCAGAGGTTAGCACCTCACTGACTTTTCAAAAACAGAGAATAACAAGATCAATGCTTGGAAGCTTAGAAAAGACGTAGAAGTATGTGCTAGTCGATTTACTGTATTCCCTGCTTGCCCTTTCTTAAGGAAAGGGCAATCCTATTTATGCCAAAGGAGTGTAGTTCTCTCATTTTCCATGACTTTCCATGACTAACCAGGCTTGGTAAATGTATTAGAAATCAAGTGCGACCCACAACTAGCTTGCTAATCATGTAGTGAACGTAAGAGAATCCCATAGAACCATCTCTTAGGTTCGTAGCCTATAGGAAGTGAAAAGGAGGTCCAAGGTCAGAGTACCTATAGATAAATTATGTCATAACGTAACCAATCTTGTGGGTAACTAAGGAGCGATGACGTGTAATGAATCATAGAGGGTTGTAAAAGCTTCTAGAGCTATCGTTCATGTTCCTAGGCCTCTAGTTGGTAGAGATATGCCATGTGGTAGTATTGGCCCACCCCCTTAAGGAGGAGATTTTCTTAATAACTTGTTCAATGAGTGTTCAAATGATATGCCGTGATGTATGTAGCATAAACAGATGTAGTAGAAGAGTTTGCAGCAATCGTTGAGTAGTATTGCTCTTGTTGTTGGTGTGATACGCGAAGATGTGTATGGTGACTTGTAGGTTTGAGGAGGAGATTTCTAAGTTTGGTCTTGAGTTTGATAGCAAACTGAGTGCAACGAATGTCAGTATGACATCGTGCTCAACTCAATATAGTATTCTTTACAATACTGTAACCTGTTACTTGGAAAGCCTTTGTGTCTAAACCCCTGCCTGCTCTGTCAAGTGAACATTACACAAGAAAAATGCCTTTCCAAGTGACTTCAAAAATCATTAGGGCCGCCTCTTGATGTTTTTTGATGTGTTTGGAAATGGTGTCGATCGCATTATCGGATGTATACTCTCCCATTCTAACTTCCTCGGTGTAGGCAGAACGGAAAGAATCCATGTTGAGGAAGCCCTTGAAAGCCTTATTCACTTGGCAAACCCTCAAAAGGGTTCTTGAGTCTATAATTTCGGATATAATTTGCAAACTTATTTCGGTAGGTAATCGGGAGAAAGGACCACTGATGTGTGAGGAAAGGCGTGACTTCTTTCGCCGCAAATTGTCATCCCGGTTTTCTATCCACTGTTAGCACGGCCCGGTATGCAAATGTTGATATTCTTACCTCGAAAAATAGAGTATGACCTCTTGCGTTTTGCAGCTTCCTCGGGACAAGCCCGGTCGTCGCCTTTAGTATCTGATACCAAGATAGATGGCATGTATTGCCATGATAGTCCAACTAATTTTGCCAGGAGTGTAGAGTCTCAGCTACCTGTTCAGGATTTGGAAGGGCAGTATAGATTGTTGTATAATCGCGGTAAACCTTGTTTGGGGAACTTAGGGGGGGGGGCATGCTGAGTCTATGGATGGCACAACAGTATTTACGGAACCAGTCAACCGTTTTCGCGCCTCTTAGGTTGCTGTTGGCCGCTGTCGTAATAGAAGATACAGGATGCGGCCATTTGAGAGGCCCGAGGCAGATTTGGGAAATCAACCAACCATACCCCGTTTCCATGAAGCTTCTGTTATAATCGAAGATGCAGATTCTAGAGTTCTTAGCTAGTTGCTAGAGCTGCTTATAGACCATAATCCATTTATCTACATATATAAGACTGTAACGCTGACTTCTAAACGATAGAAGATACAGAGGTTTCTTGCGTAAGGTTGACTTGACAGAGGAGGCAGGGGATTAAACACAAAGGCTTTCCAAGTAACACATTACAGTATTGTAAAGAATACTATATTGAGTTGAGCACGAAGCTCCTATCTAAGGAAATACTATCTACTTATATAGGGCATCATGCCAAAGGGATATCCATGGATAACATGGATAACATAATATCCAAGATATCCAATGTTATCCATCACATGACATTCCATGGATCGCCGTGGATAACATGGATAACATAATATCCATGATATCTGCTGTCCTAGATGGTAATAGTCCACAACGGGTCATACTCAACCTATAGATGTGTCTTATAGTTAAGAGTGGTGCTAATAAGTGCCACAAGAACCTACTAACAAGTGATGAGATTGCAGCTGTTATTCTAGACGAAGTAGGATATTCTAGTCTACAAGACTTAGTATGAGCCTTCTATAACACTTCAAACGGGCAGCAGCAGCTATTAAAGGTTCATGTTACACATGCCTCTTATATGCCACTCTACTACATGCTCTTATTTGTCTTTAGTGAATATAGGCGGCATTAGGGTCTTACCTTATAGGAGAATAATGGTCTATAGTAGCAACAGCAGCTAGAGCAAAGACCATTCTACTGCTTCTACATGTTCACCTATAACGAGTGTTTTAATACTCTACACTATGCTAGGCACCTCTTTTAGCAGTTTGCAGTTGATATTTTGGTGATTTGCAATCTACAGCCCTAAGTTGGCTCTATAACAACTAAAAATCCACCTGTTTAGATGTATATAGTGGCTTAGCTGACACTATCTCTTGCGACGACATTGGTATGGATAGTCTCGGCCATGGTGTTGTATTATCTTCAAGCTTTATAGGTAGTGATTGTGTAATGTAGCGCCTTTATTAGGATTTGATGGCTATTATACACCACTTTAGAAAGCCTATATTTTTTGTCACCTTTATGGCTCATCTGAAATGGCTAGATGTTACAAATGCACTGTTTCTAGGTTCGCAAGCTATGGATCAGCCAGGTCTTATTGCCTAAGTATTCCACCTAAAGGTCTATAGCCTACTTACAGACCTTAAGGATGGTGTGCTTAGGCAGTATGTCAGCCACGTATATACTATTAAGTATTATAAATGGGGCCTACTATATATGCACCTATCACTCTTCATTTAGGGGTTCTAATTTAACATTCCGTCCCTAATTAATGAGGTGGTCTACGCAGAGCTCCTAGATCCAGCTTAGGATGTTATAGGTGAGCTTATAGATGTGATAATTTCCATAATGACCTATAGGCCATGTAGAGATGATCATTTATAGGCACTGTGTATGGCCTGTAAATCACCTACATCACTGCTATGATGTATGAAACAGTTCCTAAAGCCATTTACACCTGCTACTATTGTTACTAAGAAGGGATACCCTTAATATAGGTGTTGTAATGATGGCTGGACGTTTACAGTCCTATAGCTAGGCTTATGGACTAAAAACATTGTCTATAATAACTAGTAGTTAGTTCTATACAACCTATAACGTACATGTATAGCGAAAGCGCCAAACAAGCGAAAGCGCCAAAATGATGCGGTGACCAAACCCCCCAACTAAATGTTAAATTCCTCAACAACAAAACATGCCCCATAAAAACGATGAAAGCCAATTAGTGCTAGCTATCCAGGCTATGCAAAGCGACCCAAAGTTACGCCTTCGAGTTGCTGCTAGGATCTATTCTGTGGACCACCGCAAGCTAGGTCGTCGTCTAGAAGGTGTACCTTCACGACGCGATATCCAAGCCAACTCACGGAAATTAACTAACCTAGAGGAGTCCGTCCTTGTTCAGTATATACTCGACCTAGCTGCCAAAGGGTTTCCTCCTCGGCTGTCTGTTGTTGAAGATATGGCAAGTCGACTACTTGCAACACGCGACGCGTCACGCGTTGGGTCGCGTTGGGCTTCAAACTTTGTTAAGCGGCGTGTAGAGCTCCAGACACGCTTTCAGCGCAAATACGACTACCAGAGGGCTAAGTGCGAAGATCCAGAAGTTATTAATGGCTGGTTTGAGCTTGTGCGTAACACAATTGCGAAATATGGTATCGATGAAGCAGATATCTACAACTTTGATGAGACTGGGTTTATGATGGGCGTTATCTCAACTGCTATGGTTGTAACAAGCTCAGACGGGCGGGCAAAAGCAAAGAAGGTACAGCCTGGTAATCGGGAATGGGTTACAGTAATCCAAGGCGTTAGTTCTCAAGGTTGGGCAGTACCACCATTTATCATTGTTGCAGGCAAAAACCACCTTACATCTTGGTATGAGAATAGTGGATTTTCAAGCGATTGGGTGATTTCTGTTACTGAAAATGGCTGGACTACAAACGAGAGAGGCATGGATTGGATTCAGCACTTTGAGAAGCATACAAAGGCCCGGAGTGTTGGTGGTTATCGCTTGTTAGTCCTTGATGGTCATGAGAGCCACCACTCAGATGAGTTTGAGGAGTACTGCAAGGAACACAACATTATTACGCTTTGTATGCCTGCTCACTCTTCTCATCTACTCCAGCCACTTGATGTTGGCTGTTTCGGCCCGTTAAAGCAGGCCTATGGTCGGCAAATTGAAGATATGATGCAGGCTCATATTTCTCATATTACAAAGGATGACTTCTTTCCTGCCTTCCACGCTGCATTTAACACTACAATGACGGAAAGTAACATTCGAGGCGGGTTCCGAGGGGCAGGGCTTCTTCCATTTGACCCTGAGAGAGTGATATCTACACTTGATCTTAAGTTAAGGACACCAACGCCTCCAAGCTCCCGCCCAGGTACTGCTCAACCTTGGGTTTCTCAGACACCAAACAACCCAATTGAAGCTATGTCACAGTCTACATTTATTAAAACTCGGATTTCACGCCATCAAAATAGCTCTCCAACCTCAATCTATGCAGCTGTTGACCAGTTTACAAAGGGTGCATCGCAAATAATGCATCAATTAGCACTGCTAAAGGGAGAGAACCAAAACCTACGACAGGCAAATGAAGTACTAAGCAAGCGCCGGAGAGCTAGGAAAACACGACTACAGCAAGGAGGATCACTTAATCAACAAGGGGCGCAAGAGCTACAGGATGAGAGGGATGTTGTGCAGCAGGTAGAGCAGGAAATAAGGGCAAGCCGTGGTCGGAAGCCAAGGGAAGAAACCCGTGCCCGTCACTGTGGCAAGTGTGGTGAGACTGGGCACAATGCGCGCACGTGTCAGATTGTAATAGACACCTCTGAGGAAGAGGACTCCGAGTAGTTTCAATTGATTTCTAATGTTGTGGTAGATTTATCGCAATGTTTGTCATGAGGGTAGATAATTTTGGCGCTTTCGCTTGTTTGGCACTTTCGCTATACATGTACGTTATCTACTTTAGAAATATTGTTGTCATATGAACATTAAAGTATGTAGTACTATACAGGCTGTTAAATATATTCATAAATATAATGCAGCTTTCACACAAACAGCTGGTGTACTTTCTAACTGTATTGTCTGCTTGCCCTTTCTTCAGGAAAGGGCAATCCTATTTATGCCAAAGGAGTGTAGTTCTCTCATTTTCCATGACTTTCCATGACTAACGAGGCTTGGTATCTCTGGTCAACGTAAGAGAATCTCATAGAACCATCTCCTAGGTTCCTAGCCTATAGTAAGTGAGACTTTCCATGACTAACGAGGCTTGGTATCTCTGGTCAACGTAAGAGAATCTCATAGAACCATCTCCTAGGTTCCTAGCCTATAGTAAGTGAAAGGAGGTCCAAGGTCAGAGTACCCCTATAGACAAATATTTCATAACTTAACCATCATAGTACCCCTATAGACAAATATTTCATAACTTAACTAAGGAGCGATGACATGTAATGAATCATAGAGGGTTGTAGAAGCTTTTGGAGCTATTATTCATGTTCCTAGGCCTCTGTTGGTAGAGATATGCCATGTGGTAGTATTGGCCCACCCCCTTAAGGAGGAGACTTTCTTTAATAACTTGTTCAATGAGTGTCCAAATGATATGCCGTGATGTATGTAGCTAAACAGATGTAGTAGAAGAGTTTGCAGCAATCGTTGAGTAGTATTGCTCTTGTTGTTGGTGTGATACGCGAAGATGTGTATGGTGACTTGTAGGTTTGAGGAGGAGATTTCTAAGTTTGGTCTTGAGTTTGATAGCAAACTGAGTGCAACGAATGTCAGTATGACACTGTTTGTGGCTTGGGCTGGGAAGTTAAAATCATGTTACTGACCTCCTCGATGGAACGTTTTTGGACTTTGCTGTTCTGGGCTGGGTGTTCTGGCTGGGTATCTTGGGTTGAGGCATGTTTGCTGTCGTGCTGGGCATGGCTACAGATCATGATGGCGCTGTTTGAAGCTAGATCTGGCATGAATACTGGCTATATGATAGAAATAATACGCAATGAAGCTTGATTCCCATGCCTTATTTGACACCTGCTTTCCTGTGCCTGCCGCCTCTCTTTTGTGTTCCTCCGCAGCTTGCGTGGCTGCCGTGATCAAAATGATCATACTCTTAGTGCTCCAGCCCATGCCGTCGCTGATCTATCCTGCCGCTGAAGGAAGGCTTCCCGGGCCCCAAGAGCTCTACAGATCCAAATGACAGATAGCTGTGTGTCTATTAGGCTATCTGCCCTTGGAATCTTGGCCTCATTTCTCAATTTCCTCGCTCGCTTTCCTCTCCCGGTCTTCTTCGCCGTTTCCTTCGCCGTTTCCTTCGCCATGTCCTTTGCCGTTTCGATCACCGCTTACATCACCGCTTCTATCATCGATTCCTTCGGCGTTTTCTCTGTCATTTCCACCACCATTTGCCTCTGTCATTTCCTTCGCCGTTTCATCTGCCATTCTTCAGTTCCTCTTTGCCTTTCTTGCTTGGCCGGCGTACCTTTCAACTCTTGCGGCTTCCTTGCCGCCGCTCCAACTCTTGGTCCCAGGACCGCTCATAGCCTCATCCATGGCCGCAATGGTTCCATTCGAGGAAACCAGAAACGCCTGCCCTTGGTCTCGCCCTGGGGATGGTGATAATACCGTCCTCACTCCACACCGACAGTGTCAGGACCAAGGAGCGAGTGCTTTCGGTCAGTATTAGCCGTCGCCGTCATGGATTCGTGACGATAGTTTGGCCGGCGACGGCAATATCACAACAACGGTCCTAGGATTAAAAACAGTGGGCTTATTTCACTGTCATACTACTGTTTATTTTATATCTACTGTTCTACAGCTTCAACCGTATGGGTTGAAGCCTGATCCCGGATTTTGGACGGTCTTCGGACCGGTGCACGGGCCAACTGACCGTGGGATGACCGGCCAAAATGGCTGGTGATCCCCAGACCGTCCTCGGACCCCTCCACGAATACGTGGCGCGCCGGTAAGGTCGGTTCCGACGATTAAACACCGAAGATTTTGACGAGCCTATGATACTCTCCCCCTTCTAAATATTTATAGATATAATTCTCTTATTTTTTAATTTGAGAGTCACCGTCAACAATATTCATGGAGTCTTCATTATGGACAGCCAATGTTCACGCTTTTTGCTATGTACAGATAATCGGCTCGTACCCAAGAGCAGCACAATGTGCTTCAGGCCCAAATATGTACCCAGCCTAGAGATGAGTTTTTGGAACGCCTCACATCCTCGACCTCGCAAGGAATGCCTTTATGCCGGGAGTAAAGAAAAGTTAGGCACCGCTTTACAATATGTTGGTCGTGATGCGCCGTGGCTGAAGTCGGTGCTGTATTTCCCCGCCTATTTTCCAGCCTTTTTTCCCCTTATGCAACCCGCTCCTTTTTGTATTAGATCCGTCGTTGCTTCTTTTATCGTCTCAGCTACACTGAGCCCTCCCCCTCCCGGTACCTGTCCTTTCGACTTGGTGGTCGCCTAGCGTAGCCTCGCTCTCCTCCACCTCCTCCCGTTCTCGAACCCACTGCTCTTGGAATCCTCTTCCCATACCTTCTAGTCGCCTCGCCGCCCTCCGCGCTTCGCTCATCTGACTATGTGACTCCGCGACCACAGTCGCAACCAGCATCGGTGCCAGAGGTGGCCCGATTTCCTCCGCCTCTTCGCAGCCTCCTGCAGCTGGTGCACCAATTTGCATCGCCGCAACTCCGTTTGTCAATTCCGCATGCCCTTGTTCGTGAGCCTGCCCCTCTCCAAGCTCCCCACCCTCCCCTCTCTCCTCCCCAGCCGCCTCAGGACTTCCCCTCGAGCTCCGCAGTCGCGGCTCTTCCCCCCCCACAGAATGTACATCCAGCAACGCCGTATTTTTCAGCGTCTCCCCCCGCTTCGCCTCCGGGTCGAGGAACGCATGCATCGCCACTGGCCCGCCATCCTTTGTCTCAACGAGGATATGCACCGGGTACCCCAGCTCCAGCCTCGAAGCTGATGTATGTGCACTCAATGCAGCAGTGGTAAGGGCGCGGAGGTTCTTGGCCTGAGAAGAAGGCGGCGCCGCCGTTGAAAGAAGCGGTTTCAGCGCTGTGTCGGCCAGATGGAGGGAGAGCGATGGGGGCCTGGGGTGAGGGGGTGATGTCATGGCGGGCTGTATGGTGCAGTGTGTGCGAACTGGGAGATGGGAGTCGCTGCTGTTATGCTATTGCATGATGACGTTGGGGCGCGAGGAAGGTGTCCTTTTTGATCGCGGTTGCGTGCGTGGGTGGTGTTATTTTGGGGTGTTGTTTGGTGGTGGTGGGTGGTGCAATTGGGAGGGAAGGCGGGGTTGAGCACCAGTTCAGTTCAGTTGGGGTCGTTCTTGCTAGGGTGGCTGGTTGCTCGAGTCCCGCGGCCAGTGGCTGGCAGGGGTGTGGGAGCTTGGGCGGGCGCGTGCGGGAGGTGTCCGCTAAACTCCGCACCCTCCAGCGCGAAGCCGAGGACGCAAAGACTCGCGTAGTTGACCTAGAGAAGAAAGTTGAGGCACTAGAAAAGAAAATCACCACCCTCACGACTCTCCACAAGGAGCACGACGCTCGCAGCTAGACACTTAAGCGCGAGCGCGACAAGGCAGCGACGCCGCGGACCTACGCACAAAGCTCGCAGCCGCTAAGGTAGCAAACCGCGGCGACGACGACGGCGTCGATGACATCGAGACGGAAGTCCCGCAGCGCCTCGAGCGCTGCATCCTAGCTAGAGGCTGAGGTTGCCGAACTGAAGCGCGGACTATGGCGCAAGGGGAGGAAGGAACTCGAGGCTAGGAGCCCGGGCGCGTAAGTTAGTTCTCGGTCTCGGATATAGACCTGAGTGGGGGTGATAGGGCGAAACGAGATGCTAAATTATAGGATTAATGCACTAACAGATACGGGACAGCATGGTGGTTCTAGCGCCTATAGGGGACATGATGATGGGTTGTTAATCGTCGTCAGTGTTCGCACCACCGACCACCCTGCAGGTGGTTGGCGAAAGCAAGTTGCACACGGAAAGCAAGTTGCACACGGAAAGCAAGTTGCACACGGAAAGCAAGTTGCACACGGAAAGCAAGTTGCACACGGAAAGCAAGTTGCACACGGAAAGCAAGTTGCACACGGAAAGCAAGTTGCACACGGAAAGCAAGTTGCACACGGAAAGCAAGTTGCACACCGCCAGATAGTATTGGTATATAGATTCCAATACAACCACCATCGTAATAAATGTACCATGACTTTTTGACTGTAAATGATGAGCTATTCCTAACGTCAAAATAAACCAGGATCTAAATTGTCCTCAAGATCAAGCTCATGGTCTACAAAAAAGCTATCGCTCTCCTCCACATCTAACCCACTGAATCTAATAAAACCAGTATCCTCATCTTCATCTACTTGCGACTCTAAATAGCCCATTGTTGAAATTAGATAGGAGGTAGCTTCTTCTTAGAGCTCTGATTCTTGAGCTAATTTCTCTAGGTTTTGCATTGGCTCAAGTAAATCACGAGGAACCTCCTTATTTGCCTTTAACAGAATGCTAACTTAACTCTTTCTTGCCTGCTTAGCTTTGCGTGCTTCTACTCCACGTTTATAGATTGCCTTCTTGACTTTGCTCACTACAATCCAAGACCTATAATTTGCAGTCTGCTCCTGTGATTCCTTATGTTTTTTAGCCTTGTCTTCTTTCTTTTTCTATGCGTCTCTTGCTGTTAACCGACCACTAGTTGTCTAAAGAACAGAGCGACTTCGGATCTTAGCCTTGTATTGATTTGCAACCTTTATAGATAGTAAATCATGCTGTAGGACTACAAGCTCTCTGTATGCAAGCATATTTTTAGTACCACGTGCCTAGGAATTCCACTCTAGAGCTGATGGAGTAGACAGTAGATCTGGTATTCGAGCTTGCTAGTGTTGAAGTTTAAGCTCTAAATGTATAAATTTCGTTAGTGTTCTTGGAATTTCTTAACAGTCTTCTTGATGCTCAAGAGGAGCATATACCCTCATTTTCTTCAAAGCTTCTTAGGAGTTGATTGGCCACATTCTAGAGTTGCGAAAGGCTCCTATAATGGTTCCCTTTTTAAATGTGTTCTTGCGAATCTCTAATAAATCGCAGAAGAATGAGGCTATATTGTAATTAATATCTAAGCTCTGTATTACATGTTAAACTGCTTTCTTATGCTAGTGTTTATATGGTTGGAAAACACCAACATTAAGAGGTTGCATCACAGATATGGATGAATATTCATCTCTATAGCCCATAAGACAAACTCTAGAGTTGTATGGCTTATATAGCTGTCTATAAGAAGCACTTTCATTAGTTTATTAGGGCTAGCATCTGTATGCTTTATAATGTGCTCTAAAAATATCATCGTAAGCTTGCTGTTTGTATATCCTAAATCTAAAAGCAAGACTAATTTGTCACCATTTAATTTTTTATGATACCAAGACTCTATATGCTAGTGTCCTTGTATAATAATCACAAGTGGATACTCTTTTTCAATAGCATAGATAGACTCAATAACTATGACAGATTTGCAGTTTTCAGCCATAGGAACATAATCTTAAATAAGTAAGCTTAAAGCATCTTGAATAATAAACTGTACAAACTTCTGTGATATATGCTAAAACAACCACCTCTTCTCCTAGTGCTACTACTACTCGGAATCCGTATCATCAAAGTTGTAAATATCATATAGCTGGATATTATGCTAACTACACCAAGCTAAGTACTCTGCTAACCAGTTTGTGACTGTAGATATGTTGTGAGAAGTGACATGCACTCGAGCAATTGCCTTAGTTTTAATAACTCGAAATAGATCTAGATGTGCCTTTATAAACCCTTGAAACCAGCGCCATGAAGGTGGCAGCTTTGACAGTATTTCTATAGACTGTAAATGACTGATTGCTGTAAATACCATCTGTTTTGACACTCTATATCCTGCATGATATGAATCCTCTATATACTTGTAGACTACCTTGATTTGCGCCTCTAAGAGTATCCTATTATGTCCTCTATGTTTAAGTAGTCGAGTATTTAGAGCGTCCTTTGCTCCCATGCAAGAGAGGTTTAAGTAGAGGGTATTTTTATTAACATAGTATATTCGTGCAGCAGTGACAGGCTCTTCAGACAGGTTCTCATTAAAGGAACTCAAGGGCTTGCTCTATAGGATCGAGAGTATTAGGTGTAAGGAAGCCATTTTGTCACAAGTAAATAGATAAGAAAGAGAAATGTATGTGTTTTCTAAAGTAATTTCCTTCTTGGTTATACGACTATGTGCAACTTGCTTTCTGTGTGCAACTTGCTTTCACTAACCACCTATAGGGTGGTTGGTGCAAACACTGACGATTAGATGATCAAAGAGATGATTTTGATGAGGAGACCCACCCCCCCAACTAAATGTTAAATTCCTCCACAACAAAACATGCGCCATAAAAATGATGAAAGCAAATTAGTGCTAGCTATCCAAGCTATGCAAAGCGACCCAAATTTGCGCCTTCGAGTTGCAGCTAGGATCTATTCCGTAGACCACCGCAAGCTATGTCACCGTTTACAAGGCGTACCT